AATAAACCATACGAAGACAGGATTGCCAGTCTCAACCTATTTGACTTCTACTATCGGCGCATCAGGGAAGACCTAATTCTAACATATAATATACTGAAGACACTTAATCATCCGCTGGAAAATCTTTTTGTCCGACGTCGACCGCGAACGGGCAGGAGGCATGACTTTTCGCTCACTCAAGGGTGAACTGTCGACGGAACTTTTTTGCGGTCCGTGTATGTTTCACTTGGAACGCCCTACCTCCCAGTGTTGTACGGTCGCCGAGTTTAACCATTTTCAAGAACGATTTAGATGCATATCTTATGGCCAAACCGAATCTGGAACTGTTTAACTCCATGTGATACTCAGCAAACATTACACATATTTTTGTGTCCCTCTGTATGTATACGTTCACCCTATGGTGTTGTAAAGTTAACTGCTTTTTAAACCATTAAACTTTGAATTACCTTGAATTATCTTGAATGGGTCGCCGAGGTACACAAACCGTCGCACCACAGTAAGGTACAGTCTCTTGATCAGCTGCGTGCATGGGTACGGGCCTGGCAGTTGCTAAAAGTTACGAAGGGGCGTGACAGCGGAAGCAGCCATTAGTATGGCGGACAGTCCTTAGCCATTCGATGAGGTAACCGTGTATAGATGAGTCCTCATAACCAGTGTCGCAGATGGGCACGTGCCTATCGGTTACGATAAGTAGTCCAGGTGAATGACAGCGCATACAGTATGAAGGACCGTCGCAGGCTATTGAATTAGGTTACCACGCTTATGCGAGGCCTCATAATCAGCTTTGAATATACACAGTCACGCAGTTACGACTGGTAGTCGAGACGGGTGATAACTGCTACTGTTACCATGGTGATCGGAAATGGATGCCCTTGGATACCATAGCTATATTTGTGCTTTGTGGTGGGTTACAATCATGGAGTATCACAATCTTAATAGGAATAATATCATTGTGTTGGCAGTATATCTGCATACATCTCATGACGTAGCATTATCCGCAGGGTAGTTATGCATGCCTGGAAAATCGGACCATCCACAGAGATTACCCTCGCATTGCCACTGTACACTTCATGCAGCTGTCTAGCATTGTTACACCTAATGGTGAACAAACTCATCTTATTTGATAAATTTGGGGAGTGCAGAGCATACAAGCGTCACTGACCAATTTTTATCGGTAGAGTTTGCATTGGATACTCTGACGACTTTACCTCTTACTTAAAGAACACTGATGAACGTCGAAATATACCAAAGTATTATTTTGTGATTTATCTCTCGTAAACTGGTAACACAATGCAAATCGGTGATGGTCTGTCACCTTGAACCTCCATCAACTTAAACAAAACACCGTAAGCATCATATCGCCAAAAGGTGCAAACGGATTGGCATAACACTTCGTAGAATTTGCAACTCCGAAACCCTATAATTTCGGCGAAAATAATTTGAGTGTGCTTCTAGGGAGCAACCGAGCTGGGAACGATATGGCCGCAGATTACGAACAAAGAAACAGCCGAAAAATCATCGAAAATAATTTGGCATGGAAGTTCGGGAAATCCCAAGTAAATCCGCTAGCGATGCATTCAGTTAAACAACTCAAACATGCATCATGTGCCAAAGTTGATTGAACATTGCCGAATGTACTCGCGTGCCGTAAGTTGCTTTTCACTTGCTGCTGTTAACTGACTTACCGTCAATCACCGTGGGAAATGCTGCTCCGCTCAATATGAGGATACGTGTAATATATGTCTAGTAACCACTTTTGCACTCGGTAGCCAGTTTAAATAGGAAATTTCGGCTACCCTAATATCAGATACTTATTTTCATCTGGTACAGCTTATGGCAGGAGACCTTGGTTTGGTATAGCCCTTCCAAGAATCGAACGCCACAAAGCTGGGAGGGCAAAGCAAATGGTTTAAACCTAACCACTTGTTCATGGAGGAAAATAAGTAAAAAAGTGAATTGGGGAGTCTTTAGGGTTCAAATCTTGGTTGAAGCATGCACCAATATCAAGCGACAGATGTATTCTACTGGACTAGCATTCCGCGGGAGGCAGATAGTAAATACTACAGTCGGGTGACTAGGGCTCTTGCCCTTGGATTACTGGTGGTCATGTAACGCTCTTTGTCCCAGCTAGGCGGTAATTTGGAACAAATAATTTGTGTAATTTTGGCTTGCAGTTGAATCACCTCTCAGATACGTGGCGGCATGCGCCGGCAGACATCTGCGCTCAGCTTTCGCTTGGGTTCACTACAACATTGCCGGGCAAGGTATCCCCTTTCTCCTTTCTTCTTCAACCTAGTGATCACTGTGCTCAAGGGAGACCTACTATTAGCCTCTGACTCGCGTGGGGTCAAAATGGTCTCATAGTGTTTGCTGAAAGATGCAAACCAAGTAGATGACATAAGTTTTCTTGGATTTAAGTGCAACGTAAGATATTCTAACCAATCTTGCCTCAGACTGCTCCAATTAATCCTGCTGCTGCAGGATTAATTGGGGTCAAATAAAAGCATCGTGCTTGCGAATGAGCCGACCGAAATAGTATACACATTTTCTATCTGGTGTACCAGCTCCGGTGATCCATTTCAAGACGACTTTCCCATCAGGATCAGGAAGGTCAGAATAGCATTTGGTGACCCCTATCACCAGTGGTATGGACGATACCAACTTGTCGGTCAAGAATTGGGTCTACAATGCTAGGGCACGCTCCATATTGTTATACGAGTCGAAAACCTGGTAACTGAAAACTGTAAATCTTTGTTTTGGTCATCGTTGCCCAAGTCCGGTTGGAATATAGGATCAGCGCTACTAAAAAGCATGACAAGTTCTCCGGAGGAAATAACTAGTCCACGACAGATGAGCTGGCCACAGTCAATAGGTACGGGTTGCTTGATCATATACTGCATTCGTCCATTCGAAATCAGGCTAGAATTGCCCTGATATGACACTCACATGGAGAGTAAAATGGAGCAAAGATTCGGCAATGAAGCATGGTGGCCCCCACCCGCAAACTCAGCAGCCCTGGATCCAGACTCCGAGACGGTGTCAATAAATAGCTAGTGACATTGACAGAGATGTCTCGGTCCCGCTTACAGTGGTGATTACTCACCAAACCTGTTGTGTTCATTTCGTAGCTTCCACTCCCGATCTCCCCCATGAAAGCTTTACCATCATTCCTGGATTTACACATCAACGCCATTAGTTACTAACTTTAATGCTATTAAATCATTTTTCCATGACCATGGGCTAACCAAAATGACAAATATGGGCATAGCATAGCAGTTTACACCAGTCTGTTCAGCGCTGCATTATTTCGATGGACGAAATTATAAAATTATCATTCTGTTTATCGCTTTTTTATGTGTGTCTGTTTCAAGCATATCGTGTGGGCTGTGTTTGGTATTTTTCTTATTAATCTCCCTTTTTTATTAGCCCCGAGACGAACGCAGCACAAGAACCTGTTGCAAATGCTCCGTCTCCAAGTTTGCATTAGTAAGATAACTTCACACTTTAAACACAAATATTCTGGAGTGAGCCCAACCAGTCATTGCTGATGTCAAAAATATTTACGTTCGTGTGTAAACCAAACGTGCAAGCATTTTGGGCGAGTTCTTAGGATGCGTCTGTTAGGTGCCATGGCTGCTGATCACCATGTGTAGGTTTCATAGTGTCATGCTTGGTGCCGCCGAACCTTCACCATGTTAGAAAATTGGCGATCGTGTTTCAAAGCCCGATCTGTCAAACAGTCAGCAGGCTCAATAGGCTTTCGCTCTTAATCCTCATTAGATCTTAAATTCGCCAGATCCTTGAGCAAACATTGATGTTTGTGGAAGTATTACCCTATTGGTACAGTTATCGTGTGCTCAGTGCATGCCACACATAGAGACTAGTTTCGGTTTACCTAAACCACTTTGATCTCGGTATGATGAGATTCCGAAAGTTCTAATTGAGATTTCGTCTCGTCAGTGAGGTCAGTCAGTGCTGAAAAGCTGTTTCATGTTTTTTGAGAACCATCCAACCGATCAGCTTGAGCTAACTACATTCGTACCGCATAAATTTCAAAGAAATATTCAAATAACCGTTATTCCTTTGTGAGTGACACTGAAAGTGACAATACTGTTGATGAACGAATGATTCGCTCGCGGGGTACCACGATGGTTTCCGGGGCTTGGTCAAGGGTATAGGACAAGAGGCTTGTTTGCCCTCCTAACTAGATTTTCTCTGTTGCACGGTCAGTCGAAAAGAAAGGACAAAACAGTCGAAGACCTGTTTATTGCTATTCGCTAAGAATATACCAAACAACAAAAGTGCCACATTGAAAGATGATAAAAAATAGGCAACGTGACGAAAGACATCCAAAAAGCAAACATTGATAGATAAACTGAAGCAAACAACTGTGAAGACAACAGGTGTTGGCTAGAAACAATTGATCGAAAGTGATTTAACCGGAGTCGAAATTGTTCGAGACATCATTGAAATGCGGTCCGAAGCGGTCCAGAGCAACAAAGTCATCGCCAATGGTGCCAGCTTCTTTGCCAGTTGAGGTAGATGATTGGCTAGCGGTGGCGAAATGAATTTTAGTCCGATTTTCTCTGTATGAAGAATTCTGAGGTGGAAAAAACGGGGAAGTTCTATTAAATATAAATTTGTAAGGCCAGTGCGAATAACCGGCTTAACTATACCTGGAATAAAAGCCGGCTGATCCCAGTTTATGGTAATGTGTGCGCAGATAAACTTTTGAAGCGGTTACGCATAAAGCCCATGTTTACTGATCATGTAAGATGGATTAACGTTGCGGTTCCATTTACAAACTGTTTAGGAGAGCCGAACTTATCTGATTGTTCTAGGCTAATCGGCAGTTTTTGCCACAGAAAAAACATGTACCATACCTCATAAAGAACACATTTGTGCGATTATCCACGGTGCAGGTTTTACTCCTTGCGGGCTTTCTTTACAAGTGTTTTATCGTTAAGATCACACTTTAAGGATAGGGTTACTGTTGTTGCAGAAAACGCCTGCAAAACCTACGTGCCTAATAATAAAAAACGGTGTTCTTTTCCCCACTACACCATCGATCTGAAAGTGTCAAAAAGTGAATGTCATACTGTGGAAGCACACATGTCATGGAATTGGTGATCATAGTAAATCCCAGTTGTTGGCGTTTTGTTTTGGCAAAGCCAGCCAAGCCTTATCACATTTTTTCGTTCTGTCAAACCACCAGGGTCTCCTTCGAAATGCGTCGAAATACTTTGGTCATAGCCACACTGGCGTGTGATGTGTTCCGGCTACCGCGGGAACGGATGGAAAATCATAAACTGATTACGTCACTACATTATTCAAACTCCGAAATGCAAAATTCTGTCATCAAAGGAGTCGTGAATGCATGCACCCACTCTGACGAGTTTGCACCCGCCACATTTTCAAGGCATATACTGAGCAATGCCATGAAAGCCTAACTTCGGGCTAAATGAAGGCCCACACCGATGACACTCTTTGCACTGTGCAAAAATGAATAAACTTTTCGTCAGACTCTTGTCAAACATTCTGGTCTTGAGTGATTTCTAATGGAATTCTCTGTTGGCCCTCGAAGTCAAGCGACCGTTTCCGACAGTGCACAAATCACTTTCATTTACTTCATGAGAAGTGAAGGTTGACTGAATCAGGTCACTTACACTATACATGGATCAGCCTTAAAAAATCTTGCTGGATATTGAAAACAGCTGGAAAGCATAGTCCCCTTTTTATCGGCAAATTCATCTGACATTCATCTGACAACATTCATTCGACCATAGAGTGGATAGTGGATATTTTTTAGTGTGCTATATGGAAACATTCCAGGTTATCTTCGGTACAGCAAATTTTATTTTCTCGAATATGTAGAAGTGATTGGGAGACTACTGTTGTAGTATTTCACGTTGACAGTGACCTGAATGAATCAGAAAATTTTAGCAAATATCCCGGATTAGACTCTTGGATCTGGTTTTTATCACTTGTACACTCTGAGTTTAAGCTGTCGATCACAACTTGCTTCTTCTTACGAAACAACAGACACGTGTGGGCCATTCGGTATTGTTTGTACTGGAGTGCTGACTTATTGGCAAACTGATTGCAAGCAATTTAGGAGGGATTCGTCGCCACACATAACTCCAGTGATTTCTTGGTTTTCCAAACATGATGTACTTCATCGGTCGGATAGGGCGCTAAAAGTGCTTTGGCGTAAAGGACAGTGACGAAACAAACAGTATGCCTGAACTCCCTTTTAGCTTCATAAAGGAAACTAGTCACGAGGTTCCGAAAAAATTCCTGACAGTCCTTGGAAGTCATCAGGCAGGCGCAGTCCGTCAACCTTAGGTTCTACTGGAACCCAAATTGGGACGATTTTGACAGACATTCGTTTGCATATCGATTTCGTTTTCAGCTCAGACTCAGCTGAATCTCTCGTTTATGATATTATTCAAATGAATGTTGTGCATAAATCCCACCTCTTGTTGTTTTAGTTGGTATGACATTTGAGATGTCACAGTATACTTTCATTAAGCAAACTACCTGATGAGTTCAAGAAGTGCGAAGCCGGCCGTCGGCTGTCTAAGAGTTTTCAGCAGCCGTGTGAGTAGTTTCCTTTATAAAAAACTGAGATTTTGCAACTATTGCACTAACTGAAACATGAGGCAGCCTTTGTGTAGAGAATTCAGTTGAAGAACCTCGAAAACGAGGGGTTCATCTGTCTTGGCTACAGTTGGTTTGACGGTCACTGTGACTTTGGACTGCCAGTGGGGTACCCGGGTCATCGCTCATCTGGAACCGAAAACGCATTCAACTGAAGCCTACCCAGCCAGACACCTGAAACAATCAACAGTATCTGCTTGACTATGTCGATGTGGTAAATCAATCGTGTAGAGCACATCCGAGTGATTCAGCTCCCCGACTCACTGCTCCCTCAGCGGGAAATCCGTTTTTTCTCTCTATGGCAGGCATTCCGCGAGCAAGCCCTTACCCAGGCAACACATAAGGCTGTTATTGACCGAAGTAGTCGAATAATCCGTAAAGACCAAACTACGTTGTACTGGCGGCGGTCTCTTCATCTATCTGGGAGTGTCCTGTGAACTACTTGCAGTACGACAGAGTAAACTTTCAAATGGGCTGCTAAGCACGCAGCATCCTGTGACAGAATGAAGAAGATCACCGTCGTAACTGGTAGGTCGGAAAATATTAGCTAGTCAAACAAACCTAATTCCTGAGTACGATTTATTAAACAGCGTTAAATTGATACAAGATCAGCAGGGTGCACTTACAGTTGTCAGGTTGATCCCAACTCAGCTACAACTAGTAACAAATTTCTACCAGAAGCAGCTTCAGCGTACTGAAGGTGCGGGTCGCTTTGGTCCTCAATTTCAACATGAATAAAAGGGTGTCCACGGCACCCAAAAACCTCGGATAGTAACATCTTATTGCACCACGCTGTGGTTTGAGTTTGAAATTTTAGGCACCCCTTGACCATCTCTAATCGATAAAAGTAGTAGATTTCTCAGAAGGAATTAACTAAAGTTCGTCATGTTAAAGAGAGGGACTACGAAAAGTTAACTATGTAATTGGCAGTCATCATTCGTCTGACTATTGCGGGCTAGCTTCGCTCAACTCACCCAAGCGCAGCATTGCTCTCGCTAGAAATGCTGTTGCTGCCGTAAATTTGCGACTCCTAGTGTAGACTTAGACCACACGAAGGAAGATCTACAGCGTAAGTATTGCATAGTTGCGAACAGCCGCTGTCTTCTGTCTTTTGAAGAATCACTTATTGTCGAAAGACTGTAAAAGTAAATATGTATCACACAAACCTACGGTTTGACCTACGGTTAACCAAGCAAATGCAGTCAAGTACATCTACGCCTTTGTTTGGGACAGTCGTTTGATCAGCTGACTGTCAAGTCATGACCTTTACAGGTAAATTTACACAATGAAACTCGGTGAGCTGGGAGGGCGTTGTCCTGATTCTGCAAGAGGATGAGTTTAAGCTCGTCTCTTGGAAATTGGAAAACAGGCCAAACGCTGAGGATCGGGATTCAACACTCAGGTCAGGACGATAAATCGATCCACTCATAGAGGCCCGAATTAAATCACCTTGGTAATGAATGGAAGCCATTTGATGACAGGATAGTGTTGTGGAACAAAGCAATATACGTTGTCAGCACATTGCTGTATGTTAACTAATGTACGCAAATAGTGTGAAGGGTGCCGTTTGCTGTATTTTGGATGAATATTTTACTGATACGTGCTAAGAACACGCTTGTGTTGCCTCTATCTGGGAAGCCAAAAAACATCGGGGCACTACACCCAGTCACCAGTGTAAGGAAGAAGGGCTTCGCTGTGGAGTTACTTATTAGAAAATGTTAACTAACTAGTTATAGACTATTGGACAGGGAAGCAAAACTCTCATATGCATCTTATTTACAAAAACTGAACATCCATCTTCTCTTGAACGCGTCTTCCTGAACTTTCCTGGATATTCATTGACTGTTACTCAAATCTAAGCAAATGCTCCAAAACGTCTCCACAAATTCCGCAATAGATCTCCCTTTTCAAGAGGTGCAAAGCGAATTTACAAGAAGAAAACATACTGCTCGCATGCCTCCCCCATCAGTAGTATCACGGTTACACTAGTATTGCAGTGCGTTTGCGGCGATTTTAATGAACTCAGCTCCTGATGCCTTGAAAATTACACGCAACGTGTCATACTGCTTAAATTAATGCTGAACTTTCTATTCATTGACTGTTACTCAAATCTAAGCAAATGCTCCAAAACGTCTCCACAAATTCCGCAATAGATCTCCCTTTTCAAGAGGTGCAAAGCGAATTTACAAGAAGAAAACATACTGCTCGCATGCCTCCCCCATCAGTAGTATCACGGTTACACTAGTATTGCAGTGCGTTTGCGGCGATTTTAATGAACTCAGCTCCTGATGCCTTGAAAATTACACGCAACGTGTCATACTGCTTAAATTAATGTTGAATTCTGCAGTGAAGTCCAATGGAAAGACTGGGACAAACGAAACAGAACGGCCGCAACCACTGCGCCACAAGGGTATTAAGCTATTTCAGGTTTTCAGATTTGATACTGCGGGAATAAGCAGCCAGTCAGGACATCACGGACGTGATTCCTACAAAACGATTTGCCTACACTAAGACAATTTAACTAAAGAACGGATACCGAAAAAAAACAACAACCAGGTTTGCTTACATGTCCATTGAACAGATAACGCTGTAACAACGGAAAGTGCAACGCAACCACCCGGCGAAATTTCCTATCCTTTGTGGCGAACAGAAACGGATTGTAGATGGCCGATGTCTTAGCAAACAGTCCGGGAAGTTCCGTAGAGAACGTGGTAAGATGATTTTGAAATCCCATTATGGATATAAACGCGACGGTCGCATACGGTCCCCATGATGCAACGAACAAAATAAAGGCTGCAAAGGAGGCTTTTGCCAGACGCATCTGACGTATGCTATAACCTGTAAAAGGGAATGCAGGAGAATTTACAACAAACACGTTTATCGCTATTCACTTTTGCCTATCACTATTGGATGAGAACCTTCGGAATTTTTACTCAGTGTAACTGTCCATAATCAATCCGTTTTAGGAAACAGTACGAATTTCTCGGTACACCGGGTGATCGTATTGCGAAATTGATGAACAGAAACGTGGACAACTTGTTACTCAGCTGTAGATAGCTGACTGGCATTGTGATTGGACTACGTTTCGCACTAGATACTTCTACAATAGTGAAGCATTTGCACCTGCTTGATCAACCTGTTGATCAACAAATATGTAGATAAAGGTCTATTAGAATCGCAGGATGCTTTCTTCTTGAAGAACACCCTGTTTTCTTCCAGTTATTTTGGTATTCCTGGACGAAAAGATAAACGAACAAGTAAAATTAGTGAATTTTTGTTTCCTACTTATAAAAGATCGACCATAAGACCTAGTCAGACATGAGCATCGGAAAGTGGTAATATCTTTCTATTATATGTTGAGAATTATATTCTTTGAGACCCTGATACATCATCCGAACGTGCTTATAGTAACGTCATCTTGCTGAACGGCAGGACCGGCCTCCTTAACAGTATAAACAAGTATTTTCTTCTTTTCAGTTAGACCAGGATTCAGGTGACGTATGGGTCACTGCGACACATCACTTTCGCATATACGAGCCATGTTTGCTTCAGATTCACAGACGGCACACTGTATTGTGTGAACAACAAAAATTCAACCCAGGTATTTGATGTGCATCACAGTGAGGTGTGGATGAGATCGGTCTCATTAGCTCGGCTTATTTTAACGCACGCTACAATTGGTTAACAATTCTCGGTAGAGCACACTGTAGCACAGAATATTAGCAAAAATTTGCCTTCACAAGTTATGCTGTTTCATTTAAACTGTCCGGGTTGAATTCTCCTGCGTACTCTTCTCACTTGTTAGGAGAATATATCGTTCAACCAAATTAACTGGTTAATAGACTTGGCTCTAACTGATTGTAGCGCTTTCCTCGTCTTTAAGTACTACACTGTGAGAAAAGAGTGCGTCAGAGGACTGACTATTCTGACACAGACATGCAACAACGGCAAGACAGTGGCTCTCAGCTGCCATTCGGAAAGTTTGCGGGTTAAAAACGACCTTGAAGTTGATGGATTTCAATAGGGATTGCACAACTATGTTGTCCTTTTTGGCCTTTAAACCCAGGATACCTAAACAAACGAATCTGCCGGTGGCACTGAAACTTCCCCCAGGTTATCCATGAACAACAATAAAAGGTCTTTGGAGAACATTTTATTTCCGCTTAACTGGCCTCAATTTTTTATTTGTCTAAGTTTATCAGATGAACGACTTTCAGTCTGGTCAGTTTCAAGTTCAGGACCATAAATGCCATAACTTCTGGCATAAAAGTTTGCGCTCAAATTTGCACCAACCATCACCGAAATTGTTCATATTTTTAGCATCATATGGACATCCAATTTTTCTGGAGAAGATGTCCAGAGTGTCCATTGTTCCAGGGAAATTTCACCCAAATAATAAAACCAAGCTAAAGAAGCAATATGTTCTGCGAATTTATGCGTGGGTTTGCAAATCGGGACCAGAAACAGGGCTTTGTGTATATGAGAATTAAATTGAATGTGCTGGGCAAATTTTACCTCGGTGCAGGTACCATATACAAAGTATCGAATTGCTTTTCTTAAACAGGTCAGAGGTTTAACGGATAGCCCGTATCCATTTTTCCCTTTCATGGGTCACGAGATAGGCGTTTTCCTTGAGGAAACGAAAGGTTACTTTCTCTCCTAATTTCACACTTCACAGTTTGCATGTGGCTTTCTAAAAGGAAATGCAGTCTATTAAAAAATTGGGGTTAGGTCCGACTCAAAAATTTCACTGCATGCGCAGCAAACTCGCTGATTTTGAAGGGAGCTAATGGAAACTTGTTACGTGCGAACCCTTTGCTGATGGCTTACAAAGCCAGAAATTAACCTTGTCCATCGGCACTGAACAGTTAAAATCTGCAAACATTCTCATTGGTATGACTCAAGTCCCCAAAAGTTATTTCCTTTACCTTGCATCAAGTTTTATTACTCGTACTGTCGGGATTCGATCGAAAATTGGGACTTAAGAGTGACTGACAAGGTATGACCCTCCAATATGTCATATAATTACAGAATTCTTCAATTTAGTCGCTGTTGTCAACATTTCATATTGTTCACTTACCGTCGTCGTAAAAGGGAGCAGGACTTCCAAAACTTACTCGTTGGTGGAATAGATGCAACTGCTCCAATTTCCTTCTCGCTGGAAAAACTTTAAGTCTCGCCAACTCTCAATTACTGTTCTTGAAATTATTTGTACTGACTAGTACTTTGTGCATTAAGCCTGATATTACATTTTCTCTTTTTTTCTACGGGATATTCACTTCCTTAGTAAGTCACCTCAAGCAAGAACCTATTGCTGTCTGTAATTTCAGTTTTCGCTCATTTAAACAGTGATAAATGAAAGCAAAAAACCACAGTTACGTAAACGTTTGATTCGCTAGTTGTGTTGCGTGTGAATCGGGTGTAGTTGGTAGAGCCAGACTCGGTCAACTTACCTCTGGTGTAGGTTAAACGTTTGCTGTCACCTTCACAACGGTTAACCTGACGCAGTTCGTCACTAGTGCGGTGAAGTAGCCAGTAAACAGCCGAATAGGCGAGCAGAGTTGCCGTAACAGGGATGAGAAATCCCAAAACGAACAAGCATGTTGTGAATACCAGGTTGGGTGTGTCACGTGAGATGTAGTCAAAAGTGCACGATGTTTGAAATCCTTCAAGTACCCAACGACCTATTAAGGGAAGCGGTTGAGAGGTACGATTAAGAGACTCGATTATTCGCACTTCAATTTTTCTCGGAGTTGTATTGAAAAACGAACGAAATTGGAAAACCCGTCGGAAAAGTGTTCCCTGATAACTTTTTTGGTTTCTAACAGTGGATGGTGAACATGAACAGTTTAGGATTTCACATCTACACTCATTTTCATATACAACCGCAAGTTGTGATCATGTTACATTTTATCAACAGTACAACCTGAAAATGGGCGGGGAACAAGTTACCACTACTCCACTAGGGTACGATATACTCACCTGCTGGACCTACTATCCAGTACCCCTGTTGATTTCGCCATTTGAGGACTCCCTAGTGAATAATCACATGTATGTTTGTATTGTACTGCTAGCAACGTATGGTTTTTCATCACCACCCAATCTGCATGCGAAATAGTTCTAGTTCCTTTTCCCGTTGGGCCCAACTGAGCTGTGATGGCGTGTGGTTTTCATCACCACCCACTCTGCATGTTCTAGTTCCCTTTCCCGTTGGGCCCAACTGAGCTGTGATGCGACAGGATTCTGAACGACCTTTCTTCTTCATTTTCGGTAGGCGCTAATCAAAATGATCTTGACAAGCTGGGACACACTGTTGATGAACATTTCCGGTTCATCGGTGAGAAAGTGCACGTTAATGCGTTCTAATACCATGCCTTTTTGGATTGATCTTCGTACGTTTGCAAACAATTTTTGGCTGCTAACAAAGCTCTTCTGTGCCCCACTGAGTTGGTACATCTTAACTGTTACCAAGTTACGCTGCGCAAATCTTTTAGTAACCGGTCTTAGTAAACTCTTTTTATTACTGCGTTTACTACTCAGTATTTAGGAAACAGATGCTCCAGCATCAATAGCCTTCTATATTCGTTTCTGTGTAAGAAATGATCAGAGTTTCCATATTCTTTGTGGCACTGATTCACAATGCTAAAATGAATGCTCTGCTGTCGGAATAAACAGTACCTACACAAGGTTGTCCTAAGCAGTCATACCCTCGACCGGAACTCAGGTGACGAGATTTTACCAACGACTTCTGAGACTGTTAGTATAACACAAGCAAATTTTCCGTCAGTCTGGCGGAATCGACTTCTCCATATTAACGTGCATCCAAACTACAGTCAAGTTGCTCTCAATCTAAGCAGACAGATAAGTTGCGTTATAAACGCGCCAAACGGTGCTCCTCGGTCTGGAATGGTCTCACATAATTGCGTAAGGTGCGGACAAATCGCATGGCAACTGAAAGACTGGCCGATCCGGATGTCAGACGAACGTACAAGAATCGTCTTCTGGAGTCTCTTCCAAATGCTCCACCATCAGATGTGAACTCATACTGGGANTGATGATGATGAATGAAAGAACCTAAGAGCTCTAGTCAAAGGAGGGAGTCATCGGAGCAATAGAAACGCCGCAAAACAGCAGGTTTCACGTCGGCTTTTACATCACTGAGCTCCGCTACTATTGGGTTATTGTGCTTGCTTAACGACAAAGTACATTTTTATCCCACTCTCAAGGTAACCGAGCTGGCATGGTGCATTTAAGTGGCACTGCGAGAAAGCGCATAGTAATCCGCGTTCAGCTGTTGGGCCGAATCATTTTCCGAACCCACATATGCGACCCGATTCGCGGAATTTAGAGTTACTTGTTTCTAACTTGTTTTGACAACGTTGTGGTAGAAACTAGGTGATGTTCAACGCAATGCGTAAGGCGATGTCGTTTCAAAACCCGATCCCGTTGGTAGAATGTATAACTTGGAGACCCTGGCTCGGTCCCCAAATAGACAGCTTTATGTTGGCCATCGAACCCCATCATGATGCTCTGTACGGAAACAAAGGCGTAACAAATAACTTCAGAGTGTTCACCATCTTCAGATGCATACTAGTGTAACGGTGATACTACTGTCTTTCTTCCTTTCACTAGTAGCTGACGCCCTGTGTGAATTTTTCTGGCAACAAATTAGCCAATGAGGATGTTAGATTCGGTTCAATAATTTCCAGTATCACTCAGTTACCAACTTCGACCAATTAGGACTTTTGAATGAAATGTCTGCAACGCCCGTATTTCCACTTAAAGGATCCCATGTGGTAATTTGGCCAGGTCTAAGAGAATCACAGCGGTGCACTAAATCAAGGCAGAGCTGTTTCGTTTGACTTGCTTCATTAGGCTTACCAAAACTACACAAACAATCCTTCCTTTGATCACGCCTATCATGTGACAACACACAAACTGTCCTACGAACATTACATTTGAGCAAAATCTTACCACTGTTTGCAAAAGGGGACTATTTTGAGGAAAGTCATGTTGCTAACTAGAACATTGTGTTTGCTTCAGCCCACCGTAAACCTCCAAGGGAGCACAGAAATCGAACTTTTCAATCAACAAACGTTAGAAAAGCTTGCAAACAAAGAAAAGTTGTAGCCGGTCGAGTTTCTCAGTTCAAACACCAACCGAACAATATGGGCTACCAACGATCTCTTCAGCTTTCCAACAAGATCACCTATAAAGATAGGATAAATTATGTTTTAGGTTTTCTCACAGCAGTAGCAGTAACGAAGAAAAAGTTCTAGGCTGTCAATTGATCTGTCAGTTGGACGAACACGGATAAAAAACCCACCGATTCCAAAGTATGGCAATGAAGGCCACGTGGCTGACCAGATCCAAATGCAGGGAATGATCCACAGGGCTCGCTTTTTGGTAATCAAGTAAGGAGTCATACGTAACGCACCGTAATACCGCTCGATGGCGATGAATGTCATAGAGGCAAGAGAGACAAATCCGAATAAGCCACCGGTGAAACCGTAGAAGGAACAGGCTGGAAAGGTGGGGTAAAATGTTTAGTTAGAAATTAAACCTGTCAGAATACTGTCGAGTCGTCCATTTTTGAGTCGATGCTAATAGGTTGTTCTTGGTAGGCTTACGAACATATTGAACCAAGATTAGGGAGGTGATGTTTGGCAAATGCGCGCCTGAAAAACATTGGTGTATCAATAAATATCGGTCAAAGTTTCACCTGAATTATCAATACCGTGTGGACTGGAAGAATGTAGAACCAGCTGACTGAAATGTTGGTCAGAATAACAAATATCCAGGGGATAGAGAAACAACTCAACCAAGAAGGGACTAGTGCTATGGCATTCTGACGTTTTCAGATGTAAGAAAACCTTATCAGTGATAACAGCAGCGTTGAAGAACATTACTCGCAGGTGGCGCCGACCGATACTTTATCCCCATAGGGGCGTATGACCAACGTCGATGTTGGTGTTGATAGCGGAAGCAAAGAAATGGTTGACAAGCTTTACAAGAACAAATATGACGGGAAATGCTTATACACCGACTTCACTATTCACTATTTCTTTTTCCTCCTTATCGAAGTGATAAATGTGACATACTACTCTAAAGGTTTATGAAAACTCTTCGACAACCCACGGCCAGGGCTTCCCAGGCAGGCACAGTCCCTGATTTTCCGCCGACCGTATGTTCTCCTTGAACTGTGCGAAATTCGACTGATACACTCATTTACATACCCATTCGGTTTTGGTGGTAGACATCTGGAACCCGGCTGAATCTCTCGTCTATTAGGTTCTTCTCAATTGAATGTGCTTCACCAAGTCGCCTCATGTTTCACCTGGTGGACTAGTTGAGATATCACAATGCATCATATAAGTGTGATACACTACTTAGCATTCACTACCATATCCGTTCTTTTCGAGCATGTCAACCCTTTGCTTCTCGATATCAACATCGATATCCACACTAGTCACATGACCGTACGGGAACAAGATACTCCTTAAGAGTAGCGTTTTCCAACATGAGGTGGTCTGTTGCAGCACAATCCTTTGAGAAAACATCACAAACAAGAGATTCATCCGGGTTCCGGGTGAGTCCCTCATCAAAACCAAAGCGGTGTACAAATGAATGTATAATTAGATAATAAGTTGTATTCCTTTGTCTTTTTTAAAGCCAAACATTTTATTTTTAGAGAACAATGAGTGGTAATGTTAAATCGGGGCTCCACGGGAATTCTAATTCTATGTTGGATTCTACCTCTGAAATCCGCTTACGTTTACCAATCAGTAATATGTGGTCGATGCGTTCAGATGTGCCAAGTGGGAATTTGTGCTAAGAAATTAGACTGATACCAGAGCAGAATGTTTTCAAATATCTTCTCTCATCTAGCCGTAAGTGTGGTATCACTTATCACTGAATAGTGTTTCGTCACTTCCCTTACCATGAGACCTCTCCAGAAGCTTCGTTGGGGAATACGTTCAGAATACCCTCTGTGGAGTCAGTTTATCCAGTGCTTCTATGCAACTGATGGTGCACTCCGGTTGAACATTTGTTCTAACCAGTTCCAATTTGTTTAAAAAACCATCGGTGTTAGTTGGTCACGAGCCACCAAGCGCATCAGAGAGCTATCAGTATTTTGGAACATTTTGAAAAAAACAATCGTAATAAGCAGAACACTGCATGGTTCACTTCGAACATTTCGTTGCATCACCCCCAAATGAATGTGCTTCCTTTTACCCGGTGCGTAGATCTCTATTTGCTATTGTTAGTTTACATTAATACTCCCACTGGTTGCGTTTCAGTCCTATCGCTCTTTTTCTCTATTTCTTGCCTTGCTTTGTGTGCTCCTTGTTGATTTATCCAAGACCGAAAATCAGATGATAACATGTTATCTCTGTATAGCTGATGCCCTATTCCCTTCTTCTACACGAATTGTTGTGACCATTTTTTTTTGGAAACTAGGCCTTTGAAACTACTTAAGTAGGCTGATTATTTTGCGGTTCGCTCTGTTGTGCAGTCGGTTTTTGTTGTCCTCTCTATCAGAGTTCCAACCGATAAAGTGTCTTGCATTCCAAAGGACCATAGCCTACCTTTTAACCATTTCAATATGGAGAATGATATCTAAACGATATCCTTCTTCTGTTATGCAATCAACGTTTCTTTAACTGTGGAAAAATGTTCAAAGTACCGAGTACTGTAGACTCTATCTAGTAAAGGTCACTTTTGCCCTGTATTAGACTGTTCTGCCTGATTTAAGGGGCTCAACTCTATTCTGTGCAAGTTTCATTCCGACTTCGGTGCACCGTTCAGCTGTCATTTTCCGTTTTATTTATGAGCGACATTCATGGTTTTGAGCAGCATCAGGCGTCACCATCAGTCTTTGAAAGTTCCCAAACATATCTACAAGTCAGATGTGGATTTATCATTTTACTTGAATTCTTGCGCAAACTTTGCCAAATTTACTCATTCCGGCAATGCCGGCATTCGGGTGTAGGAATCCAACAGTCACAACGTTTAAAATTCGAAATTCCAAGACATTCTTGTTACACAAATCCATCGTTTCACCTTCCGACGACCATCTTGATGATATGATGAATACCAGTTCGCCAAGCTAACCGTCTTTTGCGAACTGTCAAATTCATAATCGGCAAACTTCTTTTCCGTAGAGCTCCACTGAAACTCGTGCCATGTGTACTTGCCGTCGTCTGGGCGCTGTAATTCTATTGGTTGTCACAACTAACTCCTGCGTCCTGCTACTCCACGGGGCACTGGAGATAAATTCATACCCGTTTATTCGATCGATTCAGGTATTCTTCATCTGTTGAGCCTCGGGGTGATACTTATCGGTAGATTCCTCAATCCAGCTCCTCAGTTGATCTGCGCACATTTTTGCATGTGTTGTTTCTCCCGAGAAGGCCGATTCGCTTGCATCCAAGGGTGCTCATCCATTATTTTTTGAGCCACTGTATTAAACTTGGTGTTGTTCCTGTCGTGGAACTCGTTTGACATATCTTTCATTAATCAAGCGTCATCCCGGTTCTTGAGTCACCTTGAGGCTCGGGCAGATTGCAAACAGTACTATTATTGGACCCACTGATTTTGGATGGAGCTTGCTCGCTGGTGAGCTGGTCTGCATCAAAGCGCCATCTTCATTCGTCTCCAATTACCTTGTGTTGTTAGCTGCATCGCGTTGCCTTTTTATTTAGCGTGTTTGCCCTACAACTGTTCTTGCTTTCAACCTACACTTTCCACGTCCAGCAGTGCTCTGACTGGGTGACTACAGATTAAATGAGCCCAGTGAAGCAGCCTTTTTTTGTTTGGTAACTAAAAGTTAGGTGCGCTTCCTTTGTACCACGTATAGAGCTGAGGTTGCCGAATTGATTTTTCAACATGCAGTTAAACTTCTCCACCCTAGAGTTGACTTGAGGATGATATGGAGGTCTCCTCAAAGTGCTGCGGCGTATCTTTAAGCACCCTTGATTAAAACCGTCCGCCGTGATCGGTTGTTACATTGGCATTTACACCAAACCACAAGATGTCATCTTCCATGGGGATGAATATCACCGTTTCATACAAATGGCCTGTAGTAATTCGCATGCAATGATTAATTAAGGGCATGCAGATGTGTTTCTAATTTTTTTTGACAATGGACAAAATGCAGGTGACGGAAGATCACTTCAGAGTGACTGCGTCGATTGGATTAGGCTGATCCTGGAAACATGAAGTGCCACAAACAAACCAACATACACCTGATATACCTGTGATACAAAGTCTGTAAAAAAGCAGGAAACTAGTTATTCATCTACCTGTCTCTAAATTTATCTGCCCCTCTGCCTATTTACTCATTCACTTATCCGTTAATCTGTCTCTTATTTATGTTCGTTTATCTACATTTTTATCTGAACAGCTGATCAGCGATTTATCTACCCCCTATCCTTTTAGAATGCGGTAAAATGCTGCATGTTCGAATGCTAAAATGACGAACACCGGAAAGTGAGAGCTTGATAATAGAAGATTAGTTGCCGCTACACCTGTTGCACACCGTGGGTCAAACCCAGTGGTTCCGGGTCGACGAAAAATGAGATACTTAAAGGTTTGACGAGGTAACATGGGCAAGCGGCGGGGTTCATTACTGATTACGTTAATTGAGGTGAGAAGGTTGGGAAGTGTGTTACAAACCATGCAAGCAGTGACTCAAGACAGGTATGAGAAAGCCACGATATATAACATGGAGTAAAATTCCATGAACGTGCTTACAGCCAGCCTGAAAGTAACAAGAAATCAAACAGCCATGTTTGGGAGTTTACACAAGAGCTTACCGAACGGTACCCAAACCCAATGGGTTGCGAAGCCAGACAACGTTTTCAGCATAAAGCCATTGATGACCGAAAACAGAGCGTCACCGACGGCCAGATTAATCACAAGAATGTCTTGAGATGTTCGTTTGGGCATCCAGCTGTGTCGGGGGGAGGGGGGTTTCGCAATGGGAGAAAAACCACGTATTACAAATTGTCTGCATTCACTTTGATAACTCGTAGTTCAAGAGTTCTCACGTAACACAACACACACAAGGGCGTTTTCGAGAAATTTACTTATCATATCAACGTGTCAGCCATCTTTTACCTCTACTGATTCGGTTGTAATTGTTCGACTCTTTATGCCAACGAAATGCACCGCTGAATAGAAAAGTCGTTGGACTGCTAGAAAGCGATAGCCTATATACACATGGTGTTTGCGGTGAACGGGTTATGACACTTCAATCAATTGGAAAATGTTTGGACCGATTGATTGGGTTTCAGAGGTTTGGTAAACAATCGGTGGTTGTGACACTTGTTTTGGAGGTCAAACGGTTCAGATTCGCGTTCCGATGCCACCGGAATGATGCAGAGTAACCTCTAGTGAGACAGCGATCCGAGGTCAGTTGTTCCACTTTAATATGAATGTGGGATGAAGTTTGGGTCGGGGATGCAGCAGGATTGTTTGGGCAGATGACAAGAATACAGTTTCAACATGATCTCTCAAAGAACAAACCAACAGAGAATTTGGTTATTTTGCAAACTGCCACTCAGCAAGGCGGAATATCCGTCAAATAAAGCAAGAGTATAAGTTTGATGGATGAAAAAAAAATAAACGGTTGGGGCTTCAAAGTACAAGTTCTGATAGCCCCAGCGTTGACTGTCTTTTGTAATACTTAGTTTGTGCCTCTGTATTAAGACTTTAGTTGTGATAAACTTTCACAGCCTGATAGCCATAATTGTTCCTCATCTTAAAAGACAACCGACACTGAATTGTCCAATGCCCTCGTTTCGCATGTAACTGCCTTGCATTGTTTTTTTTTAAACAACTTACAAGCCGAAAGAGATTGATGGATTCGGCTTCGTTCCGCTGCAAACCAACGTGCTGATAATCGAACTCTAAAGGATCTCTAAAGGATATTACAGCTCAGTCAATAAGCTGTAAATTACAGCTGGCATCAGAAGGCAACCTTATACCGTCGGTAAAGCTGTTTGGTACTGTCAACTGGTAAGCGTAATTTAATCCTTACGATTTTGATGTAGTCTCTTACTCCGCATTGATGGTCATCATTGATGTGCCTGTGAATTCAGGTGAAGAGGAGACAGGCAACGCGAAATTGTCGCCTAATGTTGATGAAACTGCAGATGGGAGATAAGCGATTCTCAGTTAATGTGCGTTTTCCGCTTGTGGGGAATTAGTACAACTACCATTTGCTCACAACCTATAGTTAGTGAAAAGGTTGCGTCGCCGCTAGATTAAATTATTATTGGGGAAGACTTGCATACCTTTTTGCAAGAACAACTATGCTCCGAGTGACAATGACGACTAGCAACCGTGGTAGTATCATGCAAAAGCAACTGTTTCAAAACAGACAAGCTGGGAGGCTATTGGAAGTTTTAGGGGAATGCGACGGCAATTTATAGGTAGACACAGTACTCATGCTCTCATTGGGACTAAATGGGCGTCGCTCGGTTTTCCGGAATCAGAAATAACGAAGTCGTAAATAAAGAGATTGTTTCTTTACATTCTACCTTGTTTTTATGGATAAGCGAACAGGCTTTTAGTTTACGCTCGCTTAGTTGAGGTATTTGCCTGGGGTTAACTGGAAGCACCACTGTGAAGCGACAATGTTCCATATGAGCAGAAATTTCAATAACAACGAGATATAATGACCTCTGCAAACGCCAGTGTTACTCAAAGCGATCGTGCGGTGAGCTATTTTTGATCTAAAAAATCTCGTATTTCACTAGTCGCTGTCATTTTCATGCTCTACAGATCTCTCTTCGAGCAGATTGATATTCCCGCACACGAGCAAAAGCTGTTGTCACATACATCGAATGCACTATGATCAATAAATGGACTGAAGCATTGTGCCGTTATCTGGAAACTACTGAAACGCATTCACACATATAATAGTTAGTTACCTTGATTAAACAAGGTACGCAGCACATAATAAAGTCCCCTTACGAGGAAGTTTTTCAATCGGAAGGAATGAGTCAAAGAGAAAACTTGCAGCCTAGTAGAAATATTTCCCTTCAACTATCACGTTACCTCTCAGTCATCGAATTATTTTCTAGAACCAAGTGCAAATAGACCAGTGGAACGCACTTTGATCTGCAGACGAGCTTGTATATTTCAGACCATGCCCGGGTACTCAGTCTGATGAACATGGAAAAAGGAATCTGGTTTTATAAACTTCGATGTTCACATCAGACCCGTTTGCTACTTAAAAGTGTCCTACTACCGCAGCAAGCGGGGAGCATTTGAATCCAAGACTCCAGTCTCTTTTACTTTCTCCTGTTCAGTATTCTAGGGTGAGGCGTAAATCAGCCTAAACCAGGGTTAACCAGAATTTTGCTCCTTATCAAGCGGCACATCTTTTTAGTGTCCAGTTCAGGTTTTTTATCCCCCTTGTGAAAACCTAGTTTACCCAAAAGTAACCTCAGTTTACCCGTTTTTTCCGTAGTCATTTCCACTGTTTACCTCAAGGTGATTCTCTATCGCTTATACGAATAACCATTTTAGCATCCACTGTGTCCGATCGTGGTGACTGCGCCGTAGTCCAGATGATGGCTTTAGGGGATCACCTTGACTTTTTCGGTAGTCCAATAATTATATTGCTCGTTTTCGGCAAAAGAAACAAGCCAATTCTGAAAGTTAGTCGCTTGACAACAATGCCGACAATCTATGACTGGCTCAGAGGAGGAATACTTTCACAGGATGAGTAAAACTTTTATCTGAGAAGCTGTCACTCGATGTGCCCGTCAGAATGTGACCTTATATCCCGTCACCGTGCGAGTCGGTTGCCTCACTGATCCGCCACTCGTGGTCGAACGCCTAACTATGCAAATACTCTGGGATTCGCCACTGTCTAGCGTTTAATGAGGTGTATTCTACTGAGAATTTCCAATAAAGATGAAACAGCTTTGAAGTGCCCCTAAACTTTTCAGCATAAACTGATTTCCCTTACAGGACGAACTATCAATCGAGGATTAAATCTTTTCAAATTTGGTTACTTCTGTGGCAGACATTGAAATAGAAGTAGCTCCCTCACGAAACGGCAATGTACGTTCCTAAACGATAATATACTGGCCAGTAAGTTTCTGCAAAACATCACATTTTGTATACACGAAATGTTTAACATCTGGCGCGGAGTTTGAAATATGCAAACTGACCACGTAAAGACAATAATGATGATCAGGTTACCGATGAATCCAACCAGACTGATAATAGTCATATATATGCTTGCGAGCTGCACGTAGACTGGTCTGGGAATGGCATGATTGTACCAGAATGGCAACATCACTTCCTTAAGCTTTAACGAACTCTAAATAGGCGGTTGGGGAAATCAAGGGCCGCTTTATCGAAAAGTCAAGTGAAATCACAAATCTCTGTTGGTTAAAATAATTGAAATTTGAGTGAAACAAACTCAAGCATAGGCGGCGCTTCATTCAGACCTAACAACCAGGAAACTGCATGGGGTTAACTTCAGCTTTTCTACGATGTATGATCCGTCAAGATTGCTAACCAAAGTCATTTAAGCCACCTTGGTGAACGTTTAAAAACTATATATGTAGCCAAGGAGTTTAGGATATCGACTAATAGCTGGCTCATAAAAAACAGTCATAGATAAGTGAGATGAGTCGAAAGTACTGAGAATGTTAAAGCCATTCTGGTAGTTCGCCGAACAAAAGCCTCTACGTGGGAGTGAATATTTTCTTCTGTTCTGAGTGTAGACTTTCTTCAGATGTAATATAATTAACTTAACTTCAGTGTATCATGTGGTTGATAGATCTAAATTATTCCGAGTTTATGTCTAACTACTCAGTGCTTGTACAGTGCGTTCCTACTTATTCAGCTGCTGAATACGCTATACATCGAGGTACACACGATATCTTCTCAAAGCCCTGCAATCAAGCCATCCATCTCAACAAACTAATCACTGACTCAATCAAAGAGAATTTGGTTTATCCGGCTTTTGTTACATCACAGTCTAGTGACCTTGTTTATCTGCTGTTTACTAAAATTTTAGTTTGGGCTACGTGAGTGGCATTGTTGTGTAGTCCAGTGTCTGTTTCCTACACATCGCCCACCCAAAATATTTAAGACACCACAGGCAAACCAGATCAATATTCAATAAGAACAAAACCATGGCTAATTTAATCCACCGAGTAAGAGCTGTATGGAACGAATCAGTGGATGTAGCGTTTATGGGATACACAGAATAACAGTATCCAGTATCGTTTTGTTGAATGGAGGCTGATTGACGATGAAAAGTAGAAAACCCGATTGTTTGCGGAACTTATATTCGGACAAACTTAGTCTGACATGCGGTTAACTCATATATTACTGTGAGTTCCTCCAATAAAAACATTCAAGGGAATGGCGTAGGTTGAATTTGATTGACCCTTAATCCGAAATGCTACCTAGAGAGCACCCTTCCATCTATCTTCAGTTCTTATTTCAATTCATCGACATTTCTGAATTCCCTATTAAGCGACACTATCTGCAGTCTTCCAAAAGTAATTAATGACAATGATGTCTGTTGCACACCTGGTTGATTGAACTTTTGCCCACCTCACTCTCGGGATTCTTTTACTTTTTTAAGTATATACCATGATTTACGTGTTGAAAGCGAGAATTACTCTTAATCTATCTTTACTCAGTAAGAACCGCTGTAATTGGTGCGGCCATACTCGCTCTACTGATAATGACCTATGGTGTTCTTCCTCACGAAATATATGCAAACGGGCACCACGGTCAGGTGAGCAAAAAGCAATGAATGACGCTAACCTAGGTAAGCAGTTGGTACTGTCGATTGACCGACACGGCACGTACGAGTTAACAGTGTTGATCAGCCAAAAACGACGCAGAAGCTGAGGCTGTTCCCGTCAATACTGACACCGAAATTCGTATAATTTAATTTTGCCCATCAG